AAAAAAGCAATCTCCATGTGGCAACCCAAACAGCCTGGGGTGGAGATGAAGCCCGAAGCTTCAGGAAAAGCTAGAAAGAGGAAACACCAGGATGGAAGTGGAACAGAGACAGAGTCTGACGCTTTGGGACAACGTACAAAGACCAAACGCCAGGATGGGACAGAGATGATATTTAAAGAATCTGGCAAGGCCTGGAAGAAGACCCCTCCGGAGCATCAAGACCTAGAGCTTGAGAGAGACCAGTCGGGTAAGGGTCAGGTACAGAAGTCCCAGGAAGACGGTCCAAGACAACCCCTAGAGTACATCAAAGGCCCTTCAGATCAGGCTGAGAGGAAGCCTGCTGATTGTCGCAAGGGGTGTAAGCGTCCCTACTCTGCCCTGGAGGAAAACCAACAAAGCCCCCCAAAGGAAAAGCACGAGAGGTTACGTAAACACCTTAAATGTGTTGAAGACCCACAGCCTGACCCACACAGGCCTCAACCAGTAACATCCAAGATGAAGGGCAGCGTGTCAGGGCACAGTCATCGCTCACAAACAACACAGAAAGATCAAGAACCACCTACACCAGACGAGAGAGAGGGCAGATATTCAGAGGACAAGTCCATTACAGAAAAGGAAGGTGGTGTAAAGCATGACGCAAGAAGGGGGAACAACTTGGAGCCTGCCTTACCCGGAACACCAGCTCCAATCATCCTGGATAGTGGCAGAGGCGATAGCTTCCTCCCCAACAGGATGGCAGTACTTGAGGCAGAGAAAAAGCCTGTCAAAAACCTAAAGGGGGGCAGAGAAGTCGATCAAAATTTTCATGTTACAGAAGACATGGAGAAGGATATTAAGAGCGCACTGGGTCCAGGACCCCAAGAGGAAATCCTAAGTAGTAGATTCAAATTGCAAATCACCCGAAGAGATATCCAGACCCTGAAGAACAGTCAATGGCTCAATGATGAGGTCATCAATTTCTACATGAACCTTCTGGTTGAGAGAAATGAAAACCAAGGCTACCCAGCCCTTCATGTGTTCAGCACTTTCTTTTACCCCAAGCTAAAGCAGAGCGGTTACACTGCTGTGAAAAGGTGGACCCGAGGAATCGATCTCTTTGACAAAGAACTTATCTTGGTGCCTATTCACCAGAGGGTACATTGGAGCCTGGTGGTAATCGATTTGAGAAAACAAAGTATCATATACCTCGATTCCATGGGACAGACAGGGCAGACTATCTGTGAGACCATCTTCCAATATTTACAAAATGAGAGCAAGACACGAAGGAACATCGAGCTGGACCCTTTGGAGTGGAAACAACACAGCATGTCAGCAGAGGAGATTCCTCAGCAACGGAATGGGAGTGACTGTGGGATGTTCACCTGTAAATATGCAGACTACATCGCTAGAGACCAACCTGTCACCTTCTCTCAGCAGCACATGCCCATCTTCAGGAAGAGGATGGTATGGGAAATCCTGCACAGTCACTTACTGTAACAACATCATCAACCCGATTGCTGTGGTCACCAGTGGTCCCTGTATTTTTCTACCCATGTTTCTAATAGACCTTAAATAGGATGGGTTGAAGAGATTTAAAACAGATATTGAGCTGTCTGACCGGATGAAGCCCACTCTCTTTCATATAGTCCTAACTCGGGATGTCAGACTGCTGCCCTAATGCCATCTCTAGGATGCATGCAAGCACTGCAGGCCCAGACACTGCTGCTGTCCAACCCACAGGAGACCACGTGGTCAAGAAATACTGTTTTAATGCTGGATTTAGATAATCAATGGCTGTTTTTTCTTTTATTTTGTCTTGTTTTGTTGGGTTCTGCTTTTTATTTCTGTTTGGTTTTTTGGTTTTTTTTGTTTGTGTTTTGGTTTTGTTTTTTCATTTTTGTTTTCTAGTTTGTGTTTTGTTTTTTGTTGTTGTTTTTTGTTTATTTTGTTTTTATTCATTTGTTGCTCTTTAGTTGGGATTTCGGTTTTGTTCTTTGTTGTTTTGTTCTTTGTGTTTTTGTTGTTTTTGTTTGTGTTTTTTGTATTTTGTTTGTTGATTTTTGTTTGGGTTTGGGGTTTTGTTTTTTGTGGTGTGTTGTAGTTTTGTTTTTATTCTAAGTTTGTGTTTCTGGTTTTGGTTTTGGTTCTTTTTTGTTGTTTGTGGTTTTTGATTTTCTTTTGTTTTTTGTTTTTTGTTTTTTTCTTTGTGTTCTTGGCTTTTTGTTGTTTGTTGTTTTATTTGTTTGTGTTTTCAGTTTTATTTTTTCTTATTTTTTTGGTTTTGCTTTTGGTTCTGTTTTTGTTTTTTGTTGTTTTGTTTGTTTTTATTGTGTGTTTTTGTTTTGTTTTGTTTTTGTCTTTCTGACCCCGTTACACTGATTATTTTCCTTGACTCACTTGCAAACCTTGACCATTATCATTTTCCAATCCTCTTGTCCTTGTTTGTACTGTCTGTTTCCCAAAGAAATGTCCATTCCAGTGCCATTCTCTGCTGAAGATGAGGAGGGGCATCAGCAGGAAGAGGCAGAAGCTGTCCACTGGCATCTCTAATGCTGGAGTTGGATGCTGTTTAATTAATGCTGGGGGTAGTGGTGGTGTTCTTTTTTTTATTATTCTTGAAAATAGTATATGAAATGAAAATGAGTTGCACAGACCAGTGCTGTTCTGAACCACCATATTCTACTGGACTTGTACAGGATGTAGATCTGCAGCCAAACTACTGACTGGACTCCAGGACTATTAAGAAAAGCACCATGGTCATTTAAAGACTCATTCTTTCCCAGACCTGCCTTAGTTTTGGAAGTTGATTTCAAGTATCTATAATGGCAAATGTCCATTTTTATCTCAGGTCTCACTGAGTACAAACCCC